AAGAACGAGAAAACTGGGATCCTTGGGGAAAAGCAAAGGTGTTCCTCAAAGATCAGATTTCATCACGGAACTCCTGACGTAGATCCGCTTGCAACTTTCGCATCTCACTTAACAGAATGCTGACAGATCTGTCTGAAACATCAAAAGCTGCCACTTTTTTATCTGTGCTAGAGCCAGCTGGTACAGCAGGCTGAGGCGTCAGTTTGTCTAGCAATTTATAAAGGATTTCCCTTTCTGTGTCCTTTATTGATTCAGTGCGGTTTTCAGCGATCGTGCAATCAGCAGAAACTTTAAAACGGGCCAAATTTTCTGGAGATTGATAATCAAGAGGTTTGTGCATCAGAACCTCGCGCTTAATTTCATCGTGCAACCCATTGACAAAAAAGTGCAACTGGTCTTCTTTGAAAACGCCCAGTTTTTGGCACGTACTGTTGATAAACTCGATATATGAATCAAGTGATTCTTTTCCGCCTTGCTTACGCACACTCAAAGACTGCCTTAAACGCCACTTAACATCTTCGGAAGAAAATCTATTTTTCAGTGACGCCGTAAGTTCATCAAAATACCTCCGAGTCTCAGGAGCTAAGGAAAAATAAAACGTTTCGGCAGGACCCGATAAGTTACTCGCCAAATGTGTGGCCATAGAGGCCGAATCATGCCTATGGCCACCAGACTCAACGGGATTCTGAAATTTTTGCAGCCAACGATCAATATCCTGGGATTCTAAATGAGAGAAAAGTTCTAATTTCACGGATTTCGGGTTTCCAAACAGTTGCTTCGTCGAGTTTAGCATGTAAATATTCGATTTGTTGGCTGAATAATTTATCCATCACGCGCAAAACTTCTCGCAAATCAGGGCCACTTCCTGTGTCACTCATATCGCTTGTTTCGGAATCACTCGACCGACGTTTAGAGGCACTAAGCTCTTCGATAAGTGGGGACTTGCAATCCCCATGACAAAAACCAGATTGGCTACGAGTAACGATACCTGAGCGGCACGTCGACATGCACTGCGCGTTACCAAAAACGACAATTAAAGTAGCATAGATATATAAGAATTAAAACTAAAGTAAACGTAAATTCGTTAGTAAGATATTAAGTAAAATAAAGTTAAGGTTGATAATTTAGAAAATCAACAGAATTTAAATCTCCTGGGTCATCCGGTTCGTATTCGGCATCAAAGAAATCGAGTTCGTCCCAAAAGTCAAGAAACTCATGAAAATCTGCGGTACTAAGATTAGGGTGAACTTCTCGTTTTAACTGTGCCCACAGATGTAAATTCTCATCTTCCGCAGCAGTGAGAATAGGTTGATCAGGACCATCCTCGTCCTCGCCGTGGATGTCCTCTAACGGAGGTGGAGAGTCGCTTTCTGCCTCACCAGAATCAGTGGATGTATAGTCGTCGTTTCTCGGCTCCTTCTCGGGGCTTTCTAGAGTGGACATTTACAGCTGGTATGCCTCTTCGAGTTCTCCACCAGTGATACGGGCACTAGTTCCTCTGGCGATAGTGACTCTCACAACCAAACTCGTCTTAAGATTAACCTTTTTATTATAAGGCGACTTGCTCTTTCGCTTCACAGTTTTTCACAACTTCCTCAACAACTTTTTCTAACAACGTCTTTCTTCAACTAATCTTGTGTCCTCTGCACTTCACTTTCGTTCTCTTTAAAGTCTACTCCTTCGCATCTCGCTATTTACTTGTTTGTTGGTCGTTGACCATATGTTTACATTGATAATATATTTGTTCTTATTAGCATACATTAACTTGTGACGCAAAATTCCTTTTAAGAGCCTTTCTTTGGTTCTGAAGAAGAATAACCAGTAAAAGGAAACGAACTAAACAAAGTTCAGTAAAAGGAACACACTTTTACGCAGCTACTTTTAAGTTACTTGGTTCTTTGAAGCTAAAAAACCAAAAGTGCAAACGTCGTTTTGACAAAGGACAACTCCCATATTACTATAAATGTGTGAACAAGATAAATAGAGGGAAAACTTTACGAACAAAATCGAGCCGCAAAACCCTAACTAGCTAAGTCAATTACTAAAAGTGTGGAAATGTCCACTTAAAGGATAAAAATCTTCGAAGGGACGTCAAGTTCGGAGACAAGATGTCCTGCTCAAAAACTTCATTCCTATATGAATACACGAGAGGAGAAATTCTTAACTTAGTACGAACATTCCTAAAGAATAGTAGTAGAATGCACAAAGAATAACCTGAAAATACATGATCGTACAGATGTGGGTTGTCCTTGGTCAATAACCAACTAAGAAATGATGCGTATGATCTGATTTCGTGCATGGTACAAGAAGGCACACTTTTAATCTTTAATCTGTTAGATAAGAAGTTCATTAGCAAATGTTATTTATCTTCTTTGATACTAATTAATAAACAGTCAAAATGTTCCAGAACCTAGAAAGCTTCCTACAACGATATATATCAGTATTTATGTCAAATTAATCAGATACAATTGTCAGAAATCAATCAGATTCCATGCTTCATGCTTCATCTTTTCATATTTTAAACATTGTTTATTGGGTCATATATATTTATTCCGCAAAGGACACATTTAGCTAAGTCAAGCCAAATATTGGTTTCATTTTAAAGATCATTGGAAAGATATGTAGAACTTCCATCAAGTTATATTTTTCATAAATTGGGGAGATACGTCCCGTGACAAAGAGCTCGTCTTCGCCCTCACTCTTTCAGGAGTCCTGCATGTTGGTGGGCAGCGTCGTGACACTTTCAATTTCCTGAAGATCGTTTTGATCAGCACTGCTGTTTAGGAGAGTGGAAACGTCGTCCTCACTGTCACTGTCAGAACCATTAACACAAGTTCTTGGCTTTTTCACTCTCTTTGCTGAGGGTGCTAAATTCGCAGCACAAGCATCTCGTTTTGCTGGTCATTGTTGCTGTGACAATGCAGCGAATGAATCACCCATTGCAGTAAGTAGTTCTTCTAAGATATAAAGGCAGTACGCGGAGTTGTAACATCACCAAGGAAATGAAAGAGTACACCAGAAATGAAAATATTTGTCGGAGAAATCTACTTCTAAAAATCATTCACTGCAATTCCATCTCAGAACCCAATTCTACATACATGTTGTGATATCTGTGCAGAAAAATGTATCTGCTTATGTACCTGTGGAGCCAAGGAATGTGTGCAAAGAAAAATGCAAAAAAATTGATCACCAGTCCAGCTTTGAAAAACTATTGAAACGCTCTGTTTCAGGAAATAAAACAACCAGCTGCAATGATAAGAGCAAGTTGCAAGGAAAAAAGGCTAAATTCCTTAGAGACAATTTATTGCAGTAGCGGATGCAGCTCGCAGGTAATCTCTCACATGAAACATTATTTACAGAGCTGGATTTAGCGACTGGCTTCTCCCGACATCTGGTTGACTCAATAGTTTGTTGTGCAAGAGAGCTAAATAGCATGGAAATGATTCTACAGAAATNTGTGTGCAAAGAAAAATGCAAAAAAATTGATCACCAGTCCAGCTTTGAAAAACTATTGAAACGCTCTGTTTCAGGAAATAAAACAACCAGCTGCAATGATAAGAGCAAGTTGCAAGGAAAAAAGGCTAAATTCCTTAGAGACAATTTATTGCAGTAGCGGATGCAGCTCGCAGGTAATCTCTCACATGAAACATTATTTACAGAGCTGGATTTAGCGACTGGCTTCTCCCGACATCTGGTTGACTCAATAGTTTGTTGTGCAAGAGAGCTAAATAGCATGGAAATGATTCTACAGAAATTCAGCTTTTTCGAAAATCACATGCAGAATATGTCTGGCAGTGTTTGTGTGATTTGAGTGAAAGTAGCAGCAGTGACACAGACAATTCAGTTGTGCGTGAAGCCAGCGAATCTGAAGACAGTGACATTGCCAGTTCAGTTGTGCGAAGGCATCGTCATTACATTTTAGACAGTATTGATGAGAGCGAATAAGAACCAAGTGACATTTTAGCTTGTATTTTGAATCCTCTGTCGTCTCATCTTTGGCATGTGCTACTTAATGTACAAACAAGTAAAACCCAGTCATAGTATGCATAGAAACATTTCTCAAATTAATTATTCTTTCATGAAAATGCATTAACACACCAATGAGCAATTTGAACGGAAAATACGTGTCAAATATACATAAATACAATAGGATACAGTGAATGTTTCTGTAATAGCCTACAAGGTTTCAGTTACACCTCATTACAAATCACGGAAAGTTGCGTTGTCCTTAATGTGGTCTGCCCATATATCCAAAGGCCAAATTTATCTGCTGAGGTTAACAACTTAATTATATAGTGTCTTCGGTAAAGAAAAGCATGGCCCGCTTAAATATAAGAAACACTGAGGTTGAAAATAGCTCAAATGATTATTATTTTCTTATGATTATGCCTTCGAGCTGATAAAAAAGAACTTTTCAGGAAAACTAATTCCTATGAGTTACATTTCCTACAATAACCATCGCAGTTGCATTAAAAATGTCTTAATTGTAGCCGGGACCAGGCTCCAATGTGGGGAAAAATACCATTCATGTAGTCCCCAGTCTACTGATCACTGAACGATAGACTGGAAAGGGGAAAAGGCGTCAGAGCGACATTTTTCCTACTTTTTACCCAACTGTGGAGCCTGGCCTCAGGATAGTTAAATCCTCTTGATACTTAGTGAACAGGGTTTTCACTTGTAAAATTCCGAGACCATATATATAAAATATCATTGCCTTGTTATAACCTTAATATACTGTTCAGTATTAGATTTCCTAAGGTCCACTTCCATACCTAAATTTGATAATAATACTTTGTGCTCAACTTTTTAAGAGACTGGCTGATCCATGTCTTAAGTTTTTTCACGGTCATTTGCATCTAGAAGGCTATTTGGCATTTCCTCAAAAGCAGAGTGAGCTCTTCCAGGGATATTGCTGTACATTTCTGCAGGAAGTTAATGTTCTACAACAGCTAGCACGTCCTCCTGTGCGGACATCATGGTATGTTTCCCAGAGAGCCTTTTTACCTCAGAAGTTTTGTCAAAGTTTCTGAGAATTTCGTCAGAGGGCATTGTGCTTCTACCAACACGCTGGATGGTTTTGTCGGTAATTTCACCTCAATAGCTTTGACAGTCATTCTCGAACAACTTATTGTCATGCTGAATCTCCAGATCCATTGGATGGTTTGTATCTGATTTCCCTTGATGGTTGACAAACCTATTCCAAGTGAGTGAGTGAGCCAATCTGGGAGACAACAGTACATTGACTTGAGCTTGAAGTTGAAGCATGGCAAATGAGTATTTCGGACAATTGGACACCTTGAAGTAGAGACAAAAGTATTTGTACAGCCTGTGACACGTTCACCGTCCCTATGTTCGATCGCATCATTGTGGTCAAGGCGCAGTAACAGCAGTATGAGAAGCTGATGGGTGTAGTTTCTGACCTTGTCTACTGTCTGGCTCTGTTCTGTTGCAGGCTGACTAATGTCCAGAATCCCATGCTTCTCTTCCTCGTGTTTTTTCAAAGCAGCTGACCTTTTGTAGGCTTTCTGGCATACTCGACACTTAAGATCATTGCTTGTGGGAGCGGTGTGGCTCAACTCAGGTACACTGTAAACAATATGCTCTTCCAGGAAATCTGTGATAGCTTTAACCACATAGCTTCTCTTGCCCTCTTCATCAAGTCCACTGAGGCCCTCTCTCCACCTCTTTGGAATTTCAAATTATTGTGCTTTATAATTCTCTTTGAAGTTTTCAGTCTTTGATAACACACCCCTCTCCTCACAAAGGAATATCCTATCTCTTTTGCACCAAGGAGTATGTAGTTTTCCTGGAAAGACACACTAACGCACTCAAAACTACCACATATTATGAAATATAACTCATTTGTATGTTAATAGCAATACATGTACCTGCATCCACTCCATTTGGGCATGGAAATCTTCTATCTTTGGAATAAGGCCCTCTAGTCTTGATGAGGGAGTCCTGGTGTCTTGCATTGCAGATTGGGCTTCCTTGTGCCTTTCAAACGTTAGGTAGTCTCCACTACTGAGGACTTTCACTGGTTTGCTTTCAGCTGACTCCATCGAGGGATTTTAGTACAGAGCTAATTTATACCTTTTCTGTTTTCTGGCGTGTCTGATCCATATGGTTGTGGCTTATGCAGGAGGGTAAATAATCTTTCATCCAAGATAGAGAAGGAATATACTGAGCCCATTTATGTCGCACAAGCACAACGAGGTCTCTCTGCAATAAGGACTGTTCGTCAGAACTTGGTAGGAAGGTTGAAAAAGGGATCTCATCGACGTTTCCCTTTCGGTTTGTCTGAGGGAAGGTGGTTTGATGACACTCGGTTCTTGAATGCTACAATTTGGAACATGTGATGGTCTGTTCCTGTTCTTGAGTGTCATTTGCCGAGGAGTACACCTCATGTCAACATTATCCCCTGTAAAGGAATATCCCTGATGCATGAAGGCCCTTTGGGTATGTAGATCTGCCTCTCTTTCCTTGATTTGGTTCTCATTCTCAGCAGTCTGAGCTTGCTTTAATGATTCAAAAATGTCCGCCTCTCTCTTCACCCCAAGTTCAACTTCTTCTTTCCAATCCACTAACTTGCTGTCATACCCTTGTCCAAGTTTCTCCATTAATGTGTTAGTGGAGTTGTAACTCAAACAAGTATGAAGAGAGGCTAATCTCTTGAAATCAATTTTCTTCAGGCCCCCCTTCTTTAGTACAATAGACTTCACACGTCTGGTGGCATCAAGGTCTGAATTGGAGACTGAAAAAAGCTGGCAGCCAGCATCTAACATAGGAGGGTGTAGTGCTTCGCCTTTCTTGTGAACATTTCTAGACTGAGATGGGTTGCTGACTGATGCCAGAAGGAACTTCAAGAATAGGGGGCATCGTTTTGACAACTCTTCATAGATGTCACTCCATTTCAGACTGACAAGATCTTCTTTTGCTTTCTGCCGTAACAGGGATGGCTCTGATAGGACACAGGGTCCTGTCAATTCCGTTGTTATGAGATTGGAGACCTTGCCATAAACAATGCTCTGCCATTCCTTGTTTTGAAGCAGGGTATTTACAACCGATTCTATGGAGCCAAGGCAAAGCTGGCGTATAACACAGGCCTTGTCTTCATAGACGGCTATTCTTCTCAAGGGACTATTTGGAAAGTGTATGATCTCCTACAAAACAAAGGAAGTAAGAACCAAATTAGATGATATTTCGAGAAAAATGATGATAACAATGATAATAAATTTATTAAATTTTACGTCAAGAATAGCAAAAGAGTGGCTCTTAAAATTTACGGCTTTAGTTAATTGGAAAGTTTCAAAATACCGTGTGGGAACAAATTTTTGCGATTAGGACAGATTGTTTCTTGCTAGGAATTAATTTTTGCGATTTTCAGAAAGTATCCAGTACTCGGTATCCAACATTGATATTATTTTCGTTTTTTTTTACGTACATGCAATGGAAATATATATTTTCAAACAATACTACAGTATGCGTATGTAAAATCAGTAATTCATTGCACCCATTTTGTTTCTGGATGAAGGGAACAAGTTGTAGTTAAACAGACACAATTTCTTACTACTGTATTTTTCTGTAGCGAATTCACTTTGGAGAATATTTGCTCTGGAGTAAATTTTTTGGAAAAAAATGTTTGCGGTGAATTTTATTTGCGGCAGCTTATTTTTGCGGATCGCTGGAAAAATCGCAAAAAGTGAACCCTTACAAATTTTGTGCCACACAGTAGGATATATTTATCGAGTGTGGAAGTTTTTAATAGCAAATTGTAACATGACAGAACATGTAACCGTGAATACTCTTTTTTTTTTTAAACTTACCTCGGTTAAAATACTCTCTTTCTCAAGGAAATCTTCGAAACCCACTTGTGTCGTTGCATCACCGTTTTACAGAAGTTATGCTTCCTTTTTCCTCTGTAATGGCCTTCCTCGACGATTCGAGGCTTTCTCTCACTTCGTGAAGCTTCCGAACAAGGGTTTCGTTCTTGTCAGCACAGTTACAACACAAAATATTAGTTAAAAAACAGTCACCGGAGATCTCCTTTCCCAGTATTGACTCCAGATTGAGACAAGTTTTTGTCTTTTTCCGGCCGCCTGAGGTCGTCAACTTTTGCCTAAAATCACTGTTAGAAACAACTTTCGCACACAGTAAACAAATTTGCTCCTTCGATGATGGAAATACACATACACGTTCAATGGATTTGGTCGGAGTGGAATCAGGACATTCCGCCATTGAAGTCAAGGACTTGCAAATGAAACCTGAAACCCCAAATGTGAGTCACGCCACTCCCCATTTTTGGCGCGAAATGCAAATGAAAACCCTGCAAGCGAGACAAGTCGACCTATCGCGACTTCGTCGATCGTGGTCAGCCGCTTCACGGCCAAAAAAGGCTCGCTCCACACGCCAAGAGGTCGACTTGTAGCAAGTCTAATGGCACTGCGTCAAAGTCAAACTTGACGAATCAGTGGACAAAGTACCACTGCCATTTATAGCCTGTTGTATTTTGCATAACATCTGCATTGACATTGTAGATGATGTAGATGTGGACCCAGAGCATGATGAACCAGACGAGCTCCTCTCACTCCTAGGCCACGAGAACAGTGAAGGTTCCAGGCTGAGAAACAAGATAAAGGAGGCTTTTTTCAGTAACGTTTGCATATGTAATGAACCATTTTGTCAACATAGCGCACCTTTAACTATCACATTAGTAAATCAAACATAGCCTCAGTTAATTCAACAAATTTTGACAAAATGGGGCAATGATAATTGTCCTTTTTACATAATTTCAAATTATACATTCCTCATAGAAGAAACATTTTGCTTGCCCTTGTCAGTGTAAGATCCTGAACCTTAATTTGTGCTGATCCAATTGAAAAAAAGATTCACTGGCCTTATTGGTGATAAAAAAAAAACTTTAAAATTGACCTTGCAAGCAGGATGAGTAGTGTTTTCATAATTAGTTCATGATCAGTGTCTAACATGATTGCTACAATTTTCTGCAAATGAAACAATGAAAAACAACGAATAGTTCTTTTCCAGTATGACAGTTCTAGTTGTGTTTTATTTTTCCTTAAAGATGTTGCGACTTCTTTGACCACTTCAAAAATCATTTCCTGCCTTTTTATTTCCCTTCCTCCTCCTTTTCAGCTAGCCTTTCAAAAAAAGTCGTGGTCACATTTCTGGCTTTTGCCTTTAGCTGTTGCTTGGTTTGATGTACCAGATGCTTTCTCATCAGCCTTGCTTCCAGTACGTTTTTCAAGATCTTTATCCCCAGCTTCACGAGAGGCAGTAGATATTGGGCTTTGTCATGTGGAAAACTTGGCGTACTAGCCAAAGCTTTGTTCCCCTTGTTGGAGGAAGCCAGTTTATGCCTTAAAAGACGTTTTTAAAAGGGATTGATCCTCTTCGTCTCCGACGCTAAAGTCTGATAGCTCTTCCTCTGGTACTGGCGTTGTAAGGGTAGATTTCCCACCAGAATATGAGGGGGAGATATTAATGGGCAGCTTGTCGTCTTGAAACCCACATTCAATCACGGCTTTCGGCGTAATTTTGGCACAGCAACCCAGTATTTTAATTTGGCAGCTATAGCCCACATTTGCCCAATCAGATTTACCAACAGTAGCCATGGCTCAGCACCAGAGTTCAAGCGTTGTTGAACCAAGAGTCGTTCTCATTTAAATCTTCACAATATGTGGAAGTTTACCGATTATTCCCAATTTTGTTATTATGGTTCTTCACACGTTTGTATTGATCTTCTAAATTCTTTATCTTAGACTTGTACACGGATGCTGTGCGAATGAAGGTAATCCTCTGTTCTTTCAACAGACTAGTTAGTTGTTTTGCAATGGATTCTCGCACAGTGGCATTATGTCTCTTGCTGATGGGATGATGATCCTTCCATGTGGTGATAAGAAAACGGATCTCTGCATCTGACCAGTAATGGGACCTGACAAACAATGTCATTGCTCTCCTTTTCTTCTACATTCTTGCCCCAATATATCTTGCTCTAACTGTCGCACCTCTGCTTTGTTTTGGGCGCACATTATAGCTATTTTGTTCTCTGTTTTCTTTCATTGCAGGTCAAGTTCCTGTTTCCAGTTTCAACCCTAATTTCTTTTGAGCCATTCCTTCTCTAAATTCTTTCTCACTTGCTTCATTTTCTCTCCTTACTCGTTCCACTAGCTGTTTTGCTTGAAGGCTTGTTATGACAGCCTTAATTTGAGCATCCTTTCTTCTATTCAATTAGAAGACAAATTTGAAGGTGCTTGGCTCACCAAATCTTCGGGTAATTTAGCTGGCTACACAGTTCAAATCCGGCTCGAAAAGACCAATTTAGGTAGTCCAATAGAAAAAATTATCGAGGCTAACCGTAACACAACATTTTATTCTTTCTGACCTTGTGGTCCCAAGTCACACTTGCCGGTGATCGCAAGAATTTTTACATATAATGCGAGTAGTATAGGCAGCGGCTGCTCAATCCGGTGTTAATGTAACTGATTTAACATACACATGTAAATAATTAGATGCTTCTACATGTGTCTGATTACAAATGTCTGCAGCCTGGACACATTTAAGAAGTACTGGTCTCGGCCTCACAGCATCACAAGACCTACAGTGCAGTCACTGGCCACAATGTAACTGTGTGCACTATTGCCAATTCTCTCCTCCTTCCTCTTTACGGCCAATTGGACACGTCTCCTCTTTTCGTTTGCTACATTGTTATTTTTTGTGTGCACAATTCTTCAGACTCCACAGTGACTTGTGGCATTTCGCAGCCTACTAAAAATGGAACAAAACAAGCTTTAGTAAACATTATTACTGTTTGGTGACCTAGAGTAAGTGAGGGCTGGAATCTTGTATATCTGCCAGTAGTATTTGTTCAGTATGTAAATCAAGAGAAGTCCACGATAATTTTTCTCATCCTGACACTGGCGTCCAACAATGAGTCATTAAGAGTATTAATCTTAAATTGAGGGAAAGAACCTGTGCATCAAAAACATTTTTGGTATTTCCTTGTGTAATAATTACTCTCTCTAGAAATGGCTGCCGGGTAATTTATATTGCACGTATCTTTCACATCACCTAACATCCGAGTAACAGTCATCATATATGCTAACTTCCAAAGAACTTCTTTTACTGGAGGCTTGTTCTGTTAAGTAAAAGACAATAGACGGTTCTATTAAAATCTCGTATGGAAAAAAAATTTTTCTCACTTCATCGTCCTGTTAAACTTATATCTAAACAACTGAAAATTAATGTCTCTGTTCCTTTACGGTTCATGTTAAATGCGAAGTAACTAATTTATGAAACAAATGACCACAAGTTGGCATTAATGGGGGAGCATTAAACAAGTAGAAAAAACGGAAGCTATATTGGCTGGAAGCGTCCAGGAACAGTTGCCATCCTGGGAGCTACAGACTCTAGCTGCAGTTTCAGCGCCGGCGGCCAGAGGACTTGTTGAAGTCAAAGCACACAGTCTGGGGGTGGCGAGATTTTCTGTTAAGGTCAGCAGAAGGACAGACATCCTCAGCGTGATAAGGACTCGAGCAAACATTGCAGTGGGGCTTAGTGAGGCCTGCAAAAATCACTGTCCATAGCTCAAGGTCTACCTCATCCCAGCTCAGGGACAAGTCAGGCTGCCAGGCAACGAAACTGCTGGTCATACAATAGCCAGGCCAAGCCCTTAAACTTAGCGACTGCTCTGCTAATAATTTGCAAGTATTTTGTAAGCTCGAGTGCTCGTCTTGGGTAGGCATTCACAAGTACTAACATGTAGGTCATGTAAGCGTAGAGCCACTTGAACATGGTATCAATTACTGGTTTTTTCTTTCTGACCATGGTAACCAGAGAACCCATGGGGCCTGAGGACGAGTCGTCCAAACGGAGCTGAAATTCAGCGGTCTGGGACTAGTATAATGTGTCGGGCAAAAGTAATGGAAAGTCAATGTACTCACCCCTGAGTACATTTCCGACGAGCTCCTGGTCACCGTGGTTGTTCTCGTTGCAGGGCGCCCCTTACGAGCTTTAGCCTTGGAAACTCGCTTTGGTTGCACTGTTGTCAACGTGGCCACTTTTCCTGGCAAGGCCCACTTCAGACAATTGAGCAGCCGCCCTTTGGATTCCGTAATGGGGAGGTTCAGAGCTTGAAGACAGAGTTTGAGCGCTTCACTGGATAACGCTGAGAGATTCTGATTGCTTCGGCTGGATGCATACGGTTTGAGTGCAAAATAGCACGGCGGGGGCTGAAGCCATTTTCAAAATTTTACAAGAATAATATGCTGAGTGCTAACCTTGCTGAACAACAGAACTCAAGAAAACTCTGAAGAGTTGATCTAGACTTTTATAGCCAGACGAACGTCTGCTGGCATAGCCAGTAGAAAAGGCTGTACTACAAGTCAGGTCAGTGTTCTTTCCAGGAGTACATTATCTGTTTCCTCAACATAAAGACACTGCTTGTGATAATACTGCTACCCTCTTTCTGCGTTCGCAAACGCGTTTACTTGCAATCTTCGCTGCATGAAGAAACTTCATGGCAGATTTAACAAAATTTCCTGAAAACAGTTACTGTGCAGACTTGGTTTTGTGGACCAGTGCCTTATTGCAATTAATACCATTGTCGATCAGTGGTGCAAGGATCTTCACTTTCTGCCTGTCGTAGGTTTTATGCCCTTCAGTAACAAACTGAAGAAGCCTTACATAACATTCTACCTCACCATCTCTTTGAATTTTGCTAAATTCAAAACAATAATGGGACATCAGCGACTTCTTAATTACCTTTTGTAGGCTGGTTGGTATCCCATGAATGATATTGCCCAGGCGTAAGGCATTGGGTACTTTCATTGAACAAGCCATGGAAGGTCTCATTTGCTTAGAGTGTGCTGCAAGTCATCCAGATCCAGAAAGGACCTACTTTTCCCAGTCTTCAAGGCCTGTGAAATATCACATCTCCTTTTTCTCTCTCTTAAGTTAGTAAGAAATGATTTCTCAGACTGATCGGCTATACCTTCAGCCTAGACAAGTGATTTAAATCTCTCTCGGAACACAAAAATATGGACAGATGCGGGTTACGCAAATTTAATCGCGAGGTTGTTCATCACATTCTTTGCAAAGCACATGCTTTTGCAGCATCGGCGTGCTGGTTATTTTATCACCATAGTTAAGGTGGCTTAACAAGTTTTTTAAAGAAAAATATCATTATTTTATAATTGATACATTTTAATTAACTGAAGGTCTCTACTGAAGTTTTAGTCCCTGCAATTGACGTTTAATATCATGTTAACAAAATCGTCGTTAAATAATAAATACATTGACTGAGCTCTTAAAAAACCTAGGAACCACTCAATCTTAACATTCCACGGTTTCTTTAGTGGGAAAATAGCATTGTTTATAGCCAAAAACAGAAACATCTGTCAAACAGAAATTTTTACAAAAGGCAAAAATGTCAAATTTTTTGTTACCGTCATGGGCTCCTGGGGGCCCACTATTATGTTTCTACTCGTTCAGTTGAAGCTAATACATTGAGAAACAAAAAGAGATGATACTATGTAACTCTTCGGGCGTTTCTTTAACACCAAAAATATGGCAAGAAATTATATGCTATTTTCTGCGCTTGTACTCTTAGATCATTTATTTTCTCTCTCTCCCGATTCTCTTCTTTGTATAAGGTAATATGGCTCCATCCAAAATACACCAAGGTAAATGCTGTTTGATAAGTGAGTGTCGTCCTAAAGAAGGTTGGAATGTACTGGGCTAGTGGAACATTTCCTTGGTTTTTTTCTTACCCATTCTTTTAATTATCTTTTGGGATACTCAAGACTCCAAGTCAGGCAATTGGAGCCTCCCTTTGGCTACCCAAGCAAAGAAGTTGCAGTCTCTTCCTTTCTAACTTCTTCTCACTAGTAGCAATTAAGGATGAGCAGCTGAAGTGCAGTTTGCGTTTTTTGTTTTACAAAGCTCCTTGCTAATGTCATGGAGCAGATTTTTGTTTTCAGGAGCGTTCCTGTATTGGGTAGCGTTTACAACTGTTATCTTAAGCTCACGTATATTTCTCTATTTCCTCTTGTCTTGGACGGTTTCCTTTCACAAGTCTTCTGCAGGAAATTACCTTAACAAAATAACATCATTTAGAAGTTACGGTACTTGTAATGATGGCCTGTTAATACCCAGATAAGTGCAGACAGACTCAACAGGTTTCTCTAATCTACACCAGCGAGCGTGCCATGTTACAGTACCCTGATTCTTTGCGCACCAATAACTCTATATAACAGTAGCAAAATGTCTAAACACTACAGTACTTTTGCGATTCCAGGTGTGATTTTCCAGGAAAGAACTACGTCAGCAAAATCTAACTAATTATTGTAAAGGTGCCAGTAGCTAAGTCTAGATTTTGATCATGAAGCATTCTTGAATAGGAAATTAAGAGGCTGCCTGTAGTGTGATGGCAGCACTGTTGCCATGAATAAGGCTGTCAATCAGGGCACAAAGGCCATTAACCTGTACTAGAATTCCCACAGACTTTTCACAGCCAATGAGCACCCCATAGGATGGCTGCTGAACATTGCTGAGATGGAGGGCTGCCAAATCAGCATAGTCATTTGCATTTGTGTACCCAAAAATTGCACTGACAGACTCCACATTAAATTCTGTGCCCACTGACTGCACTGCATCCTGTACATCAAGGTAGGCAGCTGAGCATGTGTCACCATAAAGTTCATCACATCTGTCATGGCATCGCAGAATGAATTTATTAGAAAGTGAATCCACAATTGTGGCAGTTGTTTCCACCTCAAAGAAACTTCCAGCTTATGCTGTGAAATACAGGTCCCCAACGTAACATCTATTATTGTATAGGCATTGCTGCCTTGTCTTCCTCCAAGTGATGACTGAGAAGATGGGAAGATGTATTTACAGAGAGTACTGAGATACTAGTGCACAAAATGGAAACCTGGTCTTCAGAAGAGGTTGTCCCCCCATCTATGTTAAGCTTAACATCCCTGTATCCCTTCTCCGAACACGTAGTTTGAATTAACACTTTCCTACTCATTAATCTGCCCAGTGCAGGAGATTAAGACGTGGCAGACAATTTTCCTCCACTTGTATGCTTAAGTACACTGCATATAGACTGCAATGCACTGCCATTAATCCGTAAAGGGCTAATGAAATATCTTCCATCTGGCGACACATTGGTAAAAATCCACTCGCAAAATGACAGAAAGCCGTTAACTACAACTCGGATCAGATCCTAAGTCTAAACGAAAAAACATCTATTACCACTCAATACAGAAAGAAAACATAGCTGAGATAAATCAATGCAAAAACAAACTTTACATTTACATTTCTATTTACATTTACTTGTATTAGGTCGGTAAAAACCGTTAGGTTATCACACTGATAAACTGGCTTTTTCAGCACTCTGCTGAACGTAACTCAGTGCACCTCTGATAAAGAAGGGTTCTCCACAGGTAAACGATGCTTTTTAGTGTCGTTTACTGATGGGGTCGGCGAGAAGGAGAGGAACTTCAACAAAATCAGCCAGTTAAACTTACAAGGTTTATTTTACTTACTCACAAGGCGGTTCTACATTGTTCCTGATGTTCTTCTCTTTCTCTGTCTATAACTGCTTACCCCTTCTTCCTTCAGTTCCTTAGCAGCTCGCTATTTATTTGTTTTTGGTCGTTGGCCATATGTCTACATATATAATAATGCGTAGGATCTATCTGCCAACAAAAACGAACCACAAAACCCTAACTACAGCTAAGTTAATTACTAAAATGGTCGAAAAGTTCATTTAAAAGATAACTATCTTCCGAGGGAAGTCAAATTTGGAGACAAGATGTCCCACTCTCAAAAAGCACACTGTTAATGCATGCAAAGCTTATTAGTAAATTGATTATTCATTATGTTTCATTTTTAAAGGTAAACACTTAGAATGCTCTAGAACCTTAAAAGCCTATTGATCGGATATTTATCGAACTTTTATTAACTTTCCATATATCTTCAAAATCGGGATTTTTAGAGGGGGCTTGTTAGAGGATTTACAGTATATGATTTGATAAAGAAATTGAACTGATATGTAGAATTTAGAATAGTAAAGTAAGAGTGAATGTAATTAGAACTGTGGAAAACTTATACTCACAAACTGCTGCATCAAATTCCTTTGTGTTTATTATTCTCTTTAGAGCTTTAAGTAGAAAATGCATTTGATCAATAGCAGTAAAAATTTATTTGTGATTATTTATGAGTGTTTTCTTCTATTTTGAAAGGCAATTTTGAACATGTCATGTTGGATACGATTCTTAGAGGTAAGTATTAATTATTTTTCTGTATACAATAAATACCTTGGCTATTCACACTCTTGTTTCTTTCATTTAGATTGATAACAATGAGTATAAAAGGAAGGAGCTTTCAAGAGTGTGAAGGATTTGTTCTCAAGGTCTTTTTCTCAGCACTTTCAAGTACTACTGGTCAATAAATAAGACCTATACTCTTTGCAACAAAGTTGTTGAGACATTGTACTCATACTCAAATAGAGTAATTTTAGAGAACAGAACAATCTGCACCGCTTTCCCTTCCCTCTATTCAAACTCGAATGTTAGTTGAGAGCAGTTTTTTTTGTCTTCAGGATAATATTAGATTAATGTTTGATACAATTTAAGTAGAAAATACTAAATATTTGTATCATCACATCGTTCGCTATTTCAAGTAGTATATAGGAATGTGTATCAAGTTGTACTAAATTCATATGCATGTCGTTATCTCAATGTGTATCAAGTTGTACTAAATTCATATTTACCACGCGGCACCTTCCTTTTGGGCATGGCGCGCAGGCCAGAATCTGTTGGAAAATTGTAAAGTAATGACTTTCAGTCATATTTCCAGCTATTTTCTGACCCAGAATTTGTTACGAAAGATGATATATACTTGTTTAGAGAATATAGTGATAATTACAAAAGTGTAAGGAGTATGGATAAATTACTTTACCTGGATGCTCACGCATGTCGTGTTCATGTTCACTGTTGTCTGTGAAAAAGAATTGTTGGAAAATTTGTGTTTAAGGCTTATTTTTATGCTAGGGATGTGAAAATTGTCCGAGAGGTCTTAAATGTGTTCTATAGATCATACATATTTATTATGATGATGCATTTAACACTGTTTGTAGATTACTCAATTTTACTGATTTAATTTCCACACAAAACTTTCCCTTGGGAGATAGTACCGATACTTGAGACATCAATATTATCATTTAATTGGTGTTTTATCACTCCTCAGCCAATTAGAAACTCCCATAAGCCTGGTTGCAGACTATTCAAAATACCCAAGAATTGTGGCAGGTGGCAGGTGACACTTGTTTTGTTTCTTGGCCTTTTGTTTCCAACATCAATCGAACCAAAATTAATGTCTATCCTTTCATCATGTAGCTGCCTTCAGTTTTCTGCCTTGAAAAATTTTAACAACAACAACAAAACTATATTAATAAACAAATAAATTTACAAAA